CCCTCCCTCCGGCGCAGGGCAGAGAGGAGGGGGTGGATACACGCCAGACTACGGGGCTGCCAGTGCCAAGACTTGGATGGGGGGAGAAGGAGGGGAGGAGACACAGTGACCCCAAAGCTGACAATGTAAGCGACTGGAAGGGTGGTGGTGCCCCAGCCAGAGAGGGACGTTCTGGAGATGGGCTGGTTTGGTGGTGGACAAAGGCGATTCTGCTTGGGCCACCTGGAGCTTCTGGTGCCTGTGGGACATCCAGTGGAGTGAAGGTCAGAGATACAGACGCATCGGATTTGTAAATCTGGAATTGTGATGGTGATGGGAGCTGAGTGCAGAAAGAAAAAAGCGGGGGTGGGAGAGGAGAGACTCAATTAGGGGATGGGGCGTAGAGCGGAGACTGAGAAGGGAGAGTCAGAGGGGGAGGAGAGTCACAGACCCAGAGAAGAGAGCGGAAGGGAGGACAGGGTGGACACCCGTGGCGAAGCCTGCTGAGAGGTCAGGAAGGATGAGGGCTGGGCAGGGGCTAGGCCGCCATCTCAGGCAGCCCGGAATGCCACTTTTGGACAGCTCCGATAGCCAGAAAAGGCAGCTGGGGGCGCCATAGTGCACAGAGCGCTGGGCCTGGAATCAGGAAGACTCAATTTCCTGAGTTCAAATCCGGACTCAGACACTTACTGACTGTGTGACCTTGGGCAAGTCACTTCACCCTGCCTGCCTCAGTTTCCTCATATGTAAAATGAGCTGGAGAAGGAGCTGGCAAACCAGTCCAAAATGGTCAGACACGACTGAAACAACTCAACAACAAATTCAGGCCAGGAGGGGGCAGAGACTTGCCTGAAATCAACAGAAACGACCTCAAACACACTAAAACAATGAGAGTCTAGCCTGGCTAAGGAACCTGGGCATCATTTAGTCATTTTGAGGATGCTGAAAGTGCTGCCGAGAGCAGCGGGCGGGACGCTTCCTTTGAATGTGCGGAGCTCAGTCCTGCCCCCTTAAGGCCCAGTGGGGAAACTGAGGCCAGAAGGGGAAAAGGGCTCCTCCAGGTTGCACAGTTAGCTGTTCCAGTGCAGGCTCAAGACCCAGACAGGTGAACCATTCAGTGCAGCCCCCACCCAGTACTTTCCGCCTCTAACACCCAGGGCCGGGGGGCTCTGCTTTGTCACAGGCCTCCTCCCCAAGCCCTCGCTGCGCCCCTTGAGCCTCGTGGTGACTCCCGGGAAGGACGCGGTCCTGCGCTGCTCGGGACGGGTCCCCGATTCCAATTTCCAGCTCTTCAGAGACGGAGAAAGCACAGAGCTGGACGTGACCAGGCAGCGTGTCAGCGACCATGCCGTGGACTTCCTGCTGACCAATGCCAAGCCCCAGGACGGGGGCCGTTACAGGTGCCGCTACCTCACCTGGAAGAAACCCGTCTTGACTTCAGAGATCAGTGACCCCACAGAGATTTTGGTGACAGGTGAGAGCTCCGGGGCCCTTGGGACTTGGGGCATTAGGGAAGACTTAACCTCCAAAGCCCCGTCCTGCAGCTGATAAGCTGCGAGTGACCTTGGGGCAGTCCCTTCTAGGCCTCATTTGGCTCCTCTATAGATGAGTTACCTGGCCTAGACTAGCTTTACGGACCCTTCCTACCTTTGTGACCACGGGCAAGTCGCCTGGCATCCCTGAGCCTCCTCATCTGGAAAAGGGAGATAATGCAGATGCTACGGATTTCAGCTGGTTTGCTATTTTGTCTGTTTTAGGAAAAATCCTATAAACACTCGAGCCACATGGACTAGTGAAATATTGTCGCTGGCTTATCACTGCAACCTGAGGCCCCAAGAGAACACAGCCTCTGAAGTAGAATGCCAGAAATAAGAGCTTCGTCACACCCACAGAAATCAACCTTGGGCTGTGAAAATAAAGAAATTTGCGGTTTATGGGAGAGGTGCTGAATTTTTTGGGAGGGGTGGGGAGTCCAACCCCATCATTTGAAAAAGGAGGAAACTGAGTCCAAAAGAGGGAAGAAATCAGGGGACAATCCACTTGGTTGAGCAGAGGTCAAAGGATGCAACTTTCAGTGAGCAGAATATGAGGACTTCTGGGGGAGGGAGAAGAAGAGGCGTCCGGACACAGGGTCCATCTCGAGGTCGGTATGGCCAGGGTTCGAGCCCTCCAAGGAGCACCAAGCGCTCGCGAGCCAGGAAGCATTTATGCGGCGCCTGCTGTACGCCGGGCACTGCGCTAAGCCGGGGGACACCAAAGACGGTCTCTGCCCCGAGAGGCTCCCGGTGTAAACGGGAAGAGAGCTGAGAGGGTCGTTGGGAGGACCCGGGCAGGCTTCCCGGAGGTCAGCGGTCAGAACGGAGGAAGGAGAGCCGGCCGGAGGGAATGGCCGGAGCCCAGAGGCGGACCCAGCCAGGAGGCCGGACAGCGGATGGAAGCGCACATGAGGGGGTGGTAGGAGGACGGGAGAGCTGGGGGGCTTGGGGGAAGGTCAGAAGGGGCTTTGAGCTCCAAGTGGGGCCACGGCAGTGTTGGGCGGTGGGGTGACGTGCTCCGACGGGCATTTGGGGGAAAGCCCGTGGGTGGTTGCGAGGTGGGGCTGAGGGTCTGCTCCAGAGACCGCAAGGGACAAGCGTGTGCCTAGCCCCGTGCCAAGCACCCCAGGATTCCCCAAGCAGCCCTGTGACGTGGCTGCTATTATTAGCCCCAATTTCACATGGGGAAACTGAGGCAAACGGGGGTTAGGGTCATGCAGCTAGTGACTAAGACAGGATTTGAACTCAGATCTTCCTGACTCCAGGCCCGGGGCACCACCAGCTGCACCCACTCTTCCTCACGCCGGGAAGGACAAAAGGGAAAATCAAACTATCCTGGGTGAGAATCCCTGGGAAGCCCCGCCCCGTGCTGCCACTCATTACTTTCATCCCGCCGCCGATCCCTGCCAAGGTGCAGCCAATCAGGCCCCGCCCTCTTCCCTCCCAGCCCCCCCCTTCAGTTCCTCTCCCTGCGCAGGCGCCTAGGGAAAGATGTAGTCACGTGACACACACCCCCGTGTCCCTAGGGCTGGGGGCTGCGCACGTATTCCCGAGGGAACCCCCGGCCCCCCCCCCCCCCCCCTTCCCCCCTCTCGGGGACCCCCCCCCCGCTGGGGTGACTCCATACGACCTCCTTTGGCGCCCCGCACTAATTACTCTAGGAGAAGATCTCGCTGCGGAGGAGCCCCCCCATCCTCCCCTCCCCCTCAGGACTCAGGGGGTGGGGGCCTCCCCAGGGTGGGGTTGGGGGGAGGCTTTGGGCTCCCTCCGTTACCCCCCACCCCCATTCTGCCTGATCGAGGACAGACAAGGCTGCCCCTCCCCAGTGCTCCTTCCATGGCCTCACCCACTGGGGTCATGGAGCCCCCTCAACATCCTGGTATGGGGGGGTTCTCCACCCTGCTCTGGGGGTCCCCCTTGGGGAACTGTGGCCATTGCATGGTTGGGACCTGGTCTGTGCCCCCAGCACCGAAGGCCTGAGCTGGGAGCGACTCTCCCCCCCAGCAGAGAGAACCCCCAGCTGGGGTGGGGGGGCCTTAAAGTAGAGGAGGTCAGGGGGGCCTGGGGATAAAACCGAGCACAGGGAATGTCAGAGCTGGGGGGGGACCTTAGAGCATGGAAGGTCAGAGCTGGGGGAGAACCTTAGAGCATGGAATGTCAGAGCTGGAGGGGACCTCAGAACATGGAATGTCAGAGCGGGGGGGGGGGACCTTAGAGCATGGAAGGTCAGAGCTGGGACGGGGTACTCTGGGCCAGAGAAGCTCAGGACTGGGAGGACCCACTCTGCACCCAGCCAGGCTGGGGATGCTGAGGCCCAGGCAGTAGAAAGTGCTGGCCCTGTTCCTGCTGCTGGAGCTGGATGGGGGAGGGGGGGAGCCTCTTCACCGGACGGTACTCAGATGGGGTGAGGAGAGTGGCCTGGTCATGTCCCTGCTGAGGCTCCGGACAGGCCGCTCACCCTCTTTGGGTGTCATTTTTTCTGTCTGTCCAGTGAGAAAGTGGGATGTAAGGATGTCTTACGGGTCTTTCCGACTCTGAAATCCTGCTTCTGTGGGGCTCCTTCTGAGGGCACACAGCAAGCTGCTGCCCTTTTCAGGTCTCAGTTTCCCCCAGGTGAAACAGGAGGTTGTGGGCCAAGCTGCTTCTCGCCCTGGTGCCCTGTTTTCATGCCATGAGTCTCAGGCAGTGGGCTGGCGTCCCGGACTTGTTACCCAGGATGCCACCAACACCGGACTCAGGGGAGGGACATCCTCAGCACTGGAAGACAGAGGGCATGGGGCCACACTTGACACTTCTCCTCCTCCCCGGCATCCCCCTCTTCTCCAGTGTCTCACCCACTGTGCCCCCAGAGTGGGTGTGGAAGTGAGGTTGGGACAGGAATGCCCGTGATGGCCACGTTGGGCTGGTGCCATTTGGCAGGGCAGACGCCTGAAGGGCCTTAGCTCCGAGGACACATGTGTACCCCAACCCTGCTTCAGCCCCCCCAAGACCATCCCGCTTGTCCTTCCCAGATGGCCCAGAACTGGGGGTGTCCAAGATCACACACTTGCATGCTCTGAATAGTCTTGGAAAGGCTTTGGGAGCCAGTGTGGCAGGATGGCTGGGGCTGATGAGGTCTAAGATTGGGGGTCAAATCTCGTGGCCTCTCGCCCTCCCCTCCCCCCACCGGCCTGTGACATCCAGCCAACGAACAAGCATTCATTAAAACTCTGGCAGAGGTGAGTGCTGACCCCTGCTGGGCCTCAGTTTCTCTTGTGAATTAGATCCCAACCCTTGAAAAGGATGATTTAGAAGTGGACTGATACTGTGAGCCCAGGACTCGGCCTGGGCAGTAAGGACCCTGGGAGCATAAAATGTCCCGCAGCAGGGGCCAGGTCCTGGGGGGCCATTCCCCCACCCCACCCCCCCAAACACACACACACACACACACACCCTTCCCAGGGCTGCGCTCAATCAAAGTTTATGTGTGTACTCTCCCCCAGCCCACAATGGACCCTCAAGCTGGGAGTCTCCCCCTTAGACCGGGCCTTCCCTGGGTGCCGGAGAACCCCGGCTCCACAGCGCAGCCCCGAGCCCCAGGCTGAGGACGCCGAGGATCCCCACAGTCCCTGCCAGCACGGGCACCGCAGCGCCTGCAGGAGACGGGGGAAGGGGGCGGGTGAGCCAGCAGCTGGAGCCCACGCCGGCCCCCCTCCCCGGCTGGAGCAAGCCCACCTGCGGGGTCAGCATCCTTGGTGGGGCGGTGGCAGGGAGGTCCCCCTGGGGGCGGCCGGACTGGGGCAGTGAGCCTGCGGAAGCGGCCCAGCGGGCATGGGGAGGGACAGCCCAGCAGCTCCAGCGTCAGGGGTGGCCGGGAAGAGTCGTTACGATAGAAGAGAGAGACAGTTATGTTCCTGGGGACAGAGGACGGGTGAGGGGGCACCGGGCTCTGGCTCCGCCCCCCCTTGCGGCTCTCCCGGAGACCCAGGGTCCGGCTGAGCTTGGCAGGGAAGAGGAAGATACTGAGGCCAGAGGAGCTCTCTGACCTGGTGCCAGGGTCTCCCATGGATCCCTGCCGCCTCCACCCAGAGCAGCGGAGACCCCAGGAGGGAGAGGGCCTGCACGGGGGATGGCTGCGAGCCAGGGCCCACTCCTTCCAGCTTACCCCTCCTCTTCCTCTGGCTCTGGCTTTCCCAGGTGCTTCCAGAATTCGAACCCGAGGCAGGCAGCATAAGGCGGGTGGTGGCCGTCGTAGAGGCCCAGGGCTCCCTGGAGCGCCAGCAGGGTGCTGTCGTGCTGGGGGAGGGAACGCAGCACTCAGAGCTCATCTTGACCCCCCAGCCACCACCTGCCCTCCACGGAAGCCCTGTGGTTTAGGACCATCTCTCCCGGACGCAGGGCTGAGAAGCTTCCCTACGTTTTGTGGAAAGTGGCCTCCCTGCTGCCCGCACCCTGAGCTCCCCCTTACTGGCCATCCCTCGCTCTGCCCTCTGTGGCCAAGCTTACTTAAGCTAGTGCTTCACACCTCTGCAGACCCGGCCCTGTCCAGCTGTGGTCCACTGTGACCCTCCAATTTTTCTCCCAGCCTGGCTTCCCATCCCACGCCCGCCCTGGCCCCACACTCACAGCTGAGTACATAATCATCTTGAGAGGCAGCCCTCGGGCCTGGACCTGGGTAAAATTGGTTAGGATGGCATCGAGCAGGATTCCTGGAGGGGGGAACGGGCCGCCTGAAGTCTGGCCCTCTTGTCCTCCCCGCTCTGGCCCCCCAGCCAATGCCAGCAGTTCCCCACTCACCTCCAGTGAGCTGGGCCTTCTCCTCTGCCCTCGGGGGGCCCACGTGGGCTCGAACGTCCAGGGCTGACACCTGGGCCAGAGACCTGAGCACCTCTGGGGTGGCCCACTCAGGGAGGGGGAGCCGGTGGGCTCGCTAGTAAAGAAGCACAGTGGGTGGGGGGGTGTCCAGGGCTGGGGGGGTATGAGCAGGCAGCATCGAGGGTGGGCACGAGGACCTACCTGACAGGTCAAGGTGTCCAGCACCTTCCAGGCCCTGTGGAGGGGCCCGTCGGCCAGGGATAAGCCTGTGAGGTTCCCCAGGTGCACCAGGAACTCCTGGGGGGAAGGAGCCCCGGGCTGGAGTGGAGTGTCCCAGAACCCCCCAGCCGCCCCAGCTCTGACCCCGGGTGTGACCCTGTGTGAGCCTTCCCACTTGCACAGCCCGGACCAGACTCTATTTCTCCCCTAGGATTCCAATGCTGCCCTCCCACGCCTTCCCCCCTCACTCTCCAGCCCTCGAGGGCTGCCTGGTACTCTTCTCCTGCCACTGTCTCCTCCAGAAGTTTCTGGTACTGGGGACATCGCTGGGTCCGGAACTTTAGCAGCTGTGGATGGGATGGAAGTACGGAGCCTCGGCGCCGGGCAGGGCCTGGCAGGGCAAACCCAGCCCCTTCCCGCAGCAGGACTCCCCCCCCTGCCCCCAGCCCATGTAGCCTCTGCTCTGGATGGACACTTCCGGGGACAGGCAGCTCACTGCCTCCCAAAGCCATTCTTCCCTTGGGTGAATCCCTTTCCATGTGACAGCCCTGAGCTGAGCGCCCCATCCATCCCTTCCGGATATCCTCGGAGGGCCTGCGCCGTCGATGCCCTCCCTGAAATGCAGCTTCCGTGGCCCCCCCACCCCCTGGAGAGGGCTGGTCCCCCCCAGGAGCACCTCTGCCCCCCCTCCCCGGCTGGGTCTCTGACCCTCCACCCTTTTCCTTTGGCTTCCTTCTCTCTAGGTCTGTGTCTCTCCCTTTAGGACTTCTCTGCCCTCTACCTGCACTCCCACGGCCCTGACCTTGTCTTCAGTGGCTGGGACAGTGTGGATGGGGACCGGCATCCAGCCGGGGGTGAGGGGAGGCCTCGGGAAGAGCCCGGCCAGGTTGGCCTGGGCGCTCTGCAGGGTCCGCTCGTAGTCTGTGCTCCGCACATACACCTGAGGAGGGAGGGGAAGAGGCCGGTCGGAGGCCGGCGTAAGGGCCGAGGCTGGAGGCCAGACAGTCAACAGAGGACAAATTTCCCCTTACCTCGTCTCGATGATACTCCTGGTTCAGGAAGTTGCCGTATCTGGCCCTGAGGAAGCGGCCGAGCTCGACCTGCTGCTGGACGCCCTCCTGGAGATGGACGGCGGTTTTAGGGGACGGAGGAGCCCGGACCACCCTCTCCCCCCAGGTCCTCTGGCCTCCTCACCTGGGTGAGCTGGCCTAGTCCATAGGGCCATATGGCCTTGTCCTTGTGGGGGTCTGTGGGGTAGGAGTCCAGGGGGGCACGGTCCCCATGGCGATAGACCTGGGGAAACGGAGGGATCTGGGGTCAAGGCCAGCTCAGTGGAGACCCGGGGCTGGAGCAGGAACGGGGGCATGCCTCACCAGGGTCACAAAAAGCAAGGATCCCCGAGGGGGCTCAGGCCAGCTCCCCCAGGCCGCCGGGGGCAGCAGAAAGAAGAGGAGCGCGAGGGAGCTCAGGCGCTGGTGACCCCCCATCCTGCTCCAGGAGCTGAGAGGGAGCTGAGCCACTCAGCCCCAACCCTGTGTCCCACCCATCTCTCACTGCCTGCCCCACCCAGTCATTACCTCCCCACCACCCCCAACCCTTAATCATTGCCCACAGGCTCAAGTCCGGACGGCTCCCATCGGCTCCCATCGGCACAGGAGGCCGCCCCCAGCCTTTCCCTGTAGCCTGAGTGAAACCATGTGACCGACCGACAGACAGACAGACAGACAGACAGACAGATGGAGAGACGGACAGATGACTGGGCAGGCAGATAGACAGACAGATGAATAGACAGACAGAGGAAGAGCCAGATAGACAGATGGATGGGCAGACAGACCGCTGGGGAGACGGAGGGACAGACGGACGGGCGGGCGGACCGCTGGGTAGAGACAG